ATCGTAAGTCTGAGGTGTCGGTAAATGAGTATGTCGCTAAGTGAGGAGAGGCTGTACAGTGCAAAGTTGCTGTTTTACACCAAAAACACGGTTGTAGTTTTTTTCTCATGCACTGTGTGCTGCAGGATTTTTTTTATACTACGTATACTGACCTGGAGTACCTGGAGTTTACCTGGAGAGAGTTCCAGGGGTCAACGCCCCCACGGCCCGATCTGTGACCAGGCCTCCTGGTGGATCAGAGCCTGATCAACCAGGCTGTTGCTGCTGGCTGCACGCAAACCAACGTGCAGCCAGCAGCAACAGCCTGGTTGATCAGGCTCTGATCCACCAGGAGGCCTGGTCACAGATCGGGCCGTGGGGGCGTTGACCCCTGGAACTCTCTCCAGGTAAACTCCAGGTACTCCAGGTCAGTATACGTAGTATAAAAAAAATCCTGCAGCACACAGTGCATGAGAAAAAAACTACAACCGTGTTTTTGGTGTAAAACAGCAACTTTGCACTGTACAGCCTCTCCTCACCATGCAAACCCATTCTCTCATATGTAGGCCTACCAACTTTTTCCGGCAAGATTGGAAGCCGCTTGAATTTTGGCATACACTGGACCCCCGACTTACGATATTAATCCGTTCCTGAGAGCCCATCGTAAGACGGAATGATCATGGGTTGAATTAATTTTCCCAATAAGAAATAATGGAAATCAAATTAATCTGTTCAAGACACCCAAAAGTATGAAAAAGAAAAAAATTTACCACATGAAATATACATTTTCCTACACACAGAAAGAAGGATACATGCATAATAGTAGAGTAGTACATGCACAATATATATTGTGCATGTACTACTCTACTAAATGAAGAATAAATGACACTTACCTTTATTGAAGATGTAGTGATGAGACACTGTGTCCTGGGAGTGCCTTTATCTCCTGAGTAATGTAGGTCCATGTTTGGCATTTTCTTCCAGAACAGGCCTTATCACACTGTGTATGCCACTACGATTCTTAAATCTCTCAAACCAACCTTTGCTGGCCTTAAATTCACCAATATGAGCACTAGTTCCAGGCATTTTTTCTTGTTCACCTGGGTGTTAGTCGACTGGTGTGGGTCACATCCTGGGAGACAAGATTAAGGATCCCAATGGAAATAAGTTAGACAGTCCTTGATGACACACTGACTTTCTTGGGTTATCCTGGGTGGCTAACCCTCTGGGGTTAATTGTTTCTCGGTATTCTCGATAAGTCACACCAACAACAGTCTCTCCACATCTTCGAGTAGTGCAGCTGACCGTGGTGCAGCAGCAGCAGCAGCTGACTGTGGTACAACAGCAGTAGCAGCAGCTGATTGTGGTACAGCAGCAGCAGCTGACCATGGTACAGCAGCAGCTGACTGTGGTACAGCAGCAGCAGCAGCTGACCATGGTACAGTAGCAGCTGACTATGGTACAATAGTATTTCTCACCCTTTTTACCACAGGGTTGGCACTAGAAGCTTTCTTTGGGCCCATAGTGGCCTACTTATCAGTTACAAGCATTAAAAACACTGGAATAATACAAAATTTATCGACTGTAAGCATGAAACTGTCCACCCTGGCTTGTAAACAATGTCACACTAGCTCAGCTGAGGCGCTCTGGCCAGACGGACCAGATGGACGCGTTTGGGACGAATGCTGTAAATCGAGTTTTTCACTGTACGTCGGGGTCAAATTTTTACGCTGAAAAGCATCGTAGGTCGGTTTTAATGTAGGTTGGGGGTCCACTGCAGTATTACAGGACCGACACTGTCTTTAAAGTCGTAATATTACAAGACTGACCCCGAAAGGGTTAATTGATAAATTTTGCACAAGTAGAGAATTATCACTTTTTTTCGCTGATGCGAAGCACTTCATGGCTTCTCTTAGGCTTTGAAGAACTCCCATCATCACTATTTTAGTGCTTTGGTGTCATTATTAAGCAAAATTAAAGGTAATTATCAGGCCACAGTAAACCTTGGATAACTGAAACCACAGAAACTGAGTGTGGATTCAGGGGTTCTGTTGTTTTGTGTAGGGGTTGGGGTTGAGACTTCTACTCCTTGGCCCATATTTAACTTTGTCTAGTGCTGTATGATCCATGTTGGTTCACTACTTTCTTGTGAATATAATAATACATTATTTACATTATTAACTTGAAGTTATTATCTTTTGTGCCAATAACTGGCTTATTTCACTTTTATTATACCTGTGGCTTATTTAGGGCTACTGTTTTTTATTTCTGCCTGGTCACAGACCGGGCCGCAGGGGCATTGACCCCCGGAACTCTCTCCAGGTAAACTCCAGGTATACCAATGCCCCAAATTATTTTATGTTATACCTTATCTTGTTCTGCCTTCCTTTAGAAATGAGATCTAGTTCACGCAGTCTTTCCTCATTACTCAGATTTCTTGTCTTCCTTACTATTCATGATGTGTGCATTATGAACTTAGTTTTTCTCTTTACCTACCTGTATTTGGTTTGCAGATGGATTGAAAGGAAGTCATAGCTCTTTGTCCCACCTCTTAACTTTCTGTATGGAGTCAACTTCCACTATAGCCATGGACATTTCTTTACTACTCTTACATTGATGTATTTTTGAATATCTCTGGTTCATTTGGATGTGCAGTTTTCTTTTGTGTATGCTTGTTCTTAATTCTTTCTTATTAGTTCCCAGTCTTGTCTACCCTGTTTATGCTCAGAAATTTTTAGGCTAGATGAGGATTTCCTTGCATATAATAATGCATTCTCAAGAGTTGGGTGCATTTTAATGGTGAAGTATGTTTGGAGGCTTTATTTAGAGTTCAACAGATCATATGTTGGTATGTATAATGCAAATTGCTGATATTTTCCTTTTTGTGTACTCTAGGGGTATGGTGTACTTTAATGGTTTCTCCAAGGCTTTAGTCAGATTCCATGAGTTGTTACTTCCCAGGGGCTATTTTCTCTGGTTTCATTTCCCTATCACCCATTTCATTTCCTTTCTCTCATGTAGCCAATTATTCAGCCATTCCTATTGCATGTTAGGTTTTGCATTCCCATGTTCTCTGTTTGTATTATGGTATTTTGAAATATAAATAGGACACTCACTGAATGAGGGTTTGAACCTTATGGCAAGCCAGCAGGCCTGAGTGCTAACCACTGTACCATGACAAGCCAGCAGGCCTGAGTGCTAACCACTGTACCATGGCAAGCCAGCAGGCCTGAGTGCTAACCACTGTACCATGGCAAGCCAGCAGGCCTGAGTGCTAACCACTGTACCATGACAAGTCAGCAGGCCTGAGTGCTAACACTGTTACCATGACAAGCCAGCAGGCCTGAGTGTTAAACTTACATGACAACCAGCGGGCTGAGTGCTAACCCTGTACATGACAAGCCAGCAGGCCTGAGTGCTAACCACTGTACCATGGCAAGCCAGCAGGCCTGAATGCTAACCACTGTACCATGGCAAGCCAGCAGGCCTGAGTGCTAACCACTGTACCATGGCAAGCCAGCAGGCCTGAGTGCTAACCACTGTACCATGACAAGCCAGCAGGCCTGAGTGCTAACCACTGTACCATGGCAAGCCAGCAGGCCTGAGTGCTAACCACTGTACCATGACAAGCCAGCAGGCCTGAGTGCAAACTACTGTACCATGGCAAGCCAGCAGGCCTGAGTGCTAACCACTGTACCATGGCAAGCCAGCAGGCCTGAGTGCTAACCACTGTACCATGGCAAGCCAGCAGGCCTGAGTGCTAACCACTGTACCATGCAAGCCCAGCAGGCCTGAGTGCTAACCACTGTACCATGACAAGCCAGCAGGCCTGAGTGCTAACCACTGTACCATGGCAAGCCAGCAGGCCTGAGTGCTAACCACTGTACCATGACAAGTCAGCAGGCCTGAGTGCTAACCACTGTACCATGACAAGCCAGCAGGCCTGAGTGCAAACTACTGTATCATGGCAAGCCAGCAGGCCTGAGTACTAACCACTGTATCATGGCAAGCCAGCTGGCCTGAGTACTAACCACTGTACCATGCTGGCCTGATAAGATTTGCCAAACTAGATGTATATTTGTCACCATAGCATGGGCCCCATTGACCACAAATGCAGGCTTTTACATGTAAATCATATTAAGCCAGCATTGCACAGTGGATAGTGCACAGACTTGCTAATCTTAGAATTCGTTTGCCATGGGTTTGAGCACTCCATTCAGCAAGTTGCTTGTTATCATGTCATTATGATCTAGTGAGTCATGAATAGATAGGCATTTGCCCACACCAGCATGTCATTAACATACCAGTATATTGGCAAAAGTACAGGGGCCTAGCACTGATCTTTGGGGATACTCTGTCCTTTCTTTTATTGTGTCTTTTTGCCTTTTGTCATTCAAAACATTTCTTGTGTATATCAATGCTTAATACATATATGTTGGCAAAGAAACAGGACTATGTTAGCCTAACCTGACCTTTTATGAATTTTTATGCTTATCATGTCTGCTAAGTTTCCTCTTATCATTAAAGAATAAATGTTGTATCACCATGTGAATTGTTAGTGGTTCAGGTCGGACCAAAATGTCGTCATTACTTTCCCTCTCCTAAGTGCTGGTTATTTGTATGTCTGCTTATTATTCAACAAGGGCATTTTCACTGTTTCTTCATAACTTATATTTCATTTTTAGCTTTGGGTGTTATTTTGTAGCACATCTTTGGGCATGTTCTATCTTTACAGTGTTATCTCTAAGTGGGGACACTGACTATCGTTGTGTATTCAAATATTGCTCCTAAGTCTGCTGTCTTTATAGATTTTGTCTTCCTTTAACATGGGTGTCTTGATGCTGGTAAAGGGCTCTTGGTGCAAGGTATTAGGGCTACCCTCATTTTTTTTTCCTTCAAACCTGATTACCTGCCATACCCAGGTGCTATTTGACCCTCTACAGGTTTAGCGCTTCACAATATTTATAATTTTATATTGTCAGTTTTAATGGCTCATGGATTAATATTAAGCATAATTTCAGAAGAAAGAAAAAGATGAAAAGAAAGATAAAGATAAAGACAAAGAGAAGAGAGAGAAGGAGAAAAAAGATGACAAAGATGAAAAGGAAAAGAAAGAGAAAAAGAGAAGAAGGATGAAGAAGAAGAAAAGGAAGAGAAAATGGATGAGGATAAAGATGGAGAGAAGAAAGACAAGAAATTATCTGAGAAAGAAGAGGTAAAAGAAGAAAAAGAGGAGAAGAAAGACGAAGACGAAGAAGACGAGGAAATAGAAGATGACGATGATGAGGAGATTGTAAGTAATGTACATTGTTTGAAGTCTTTCTAGACTTGTAAGACTTATATTAAAATGACTTCATCCTACACCAGACCCATCATCCTTCTATTAATCCTTCTCCAACTATTTTCCTGTCATTCTCTTAATCCTCCTACCATCCTACTCCAGATCTTCCTCATATTTTTTTCTTCCCACGATCAAGTTGTGAGAGTATGAAAACTCAAAACCCTTGAAATATATATGATATCTTCCTCCACCATCCTCTTTTTACCATCCTGCTTCTTATAAGCCTACTCTTAATCCTCCTCCTACCATCCTGCTCCTTTTAATCCTCCTACCATCCTGCTTTTAATTCTATCACCATCCTCTTAATCCTCCTCCTACCATCCTACTCTTAATCCTCCTTCCATCCTGCTCTTCTTAATCCTCTTCATATTCTATTCCATCTAATCTTCTACCATCTCCAGGTAAACCATCCTCCTCCCTTCATCTTCCTCTTCACTCCTCTGCCATCCTTCATTCCTATCTCACCATCATTTCTCTCCCCCCCTCTCCCTCACACCTCTCCCCCTCTCTCCCTTCACCCCTCTTCCCCTATCAGTTCTCTCCCCTTCTCCCCCTCTTTCCCCCCTCTCTCTCCTTCCCCCCCCTCTCTCCTCCCCTCTTATTTCCTCCACATTTCTGCTCATCTTTCTTTTCCCTCAACAATTTTGATGATCCTTTTGTCTCAGCATCCATTATTCTCCTGTTGCCTCATACTACCTCATTACCCTCCTCTTCCTTCTCATCTCTGTTTCCTCCTCTCTTCCTCCTTCCCTCCCTCCCTCACCCTCCTTCCCTTCTCTATCCCTCTTCCTCTTTCTTTCCTCTGCCCCTCTTCCTCTCTCCCTCCCATTCCCTTTTCCTTTCTGCCAATTTTCCTCCCTCTTCCTCCATCTTTTCCCATCTCTTTGTCTTCTCATCCCCTCTTTTCTTTCCCCTCTTCTCTCCCCTACCCCTCCTCTGCTCTTAGCTTTTTTTTTCCTTTCTTTTCTCTTTCTCCTCTATCATTTCCTCTTTTTTGCCATTCCTCATTTTTTTCTTCTTGCATTGCTTTACTTGGTTGCCTCAGACTGTGCACATATTGCAGCAATACTAGTCTAGTTACTGATATTTTCACATTATTGTTTTCAGTTCTAGTAAATAGTGAATATTTCACACATTAAAACCAAACTATTAAGTGCTTTTTTGAATCCATGTAGGTTTTGTGCTTGTTTTTAATATAATAACAAATTTAATGTCTTGAACCTTGATAAGTGTTTACACTGCATGACAGAAGTTTCTCTAAGTGCCTCATATTCATGAATGGTTTCCTAGAGGTAATAAGAGCATCACTGATTCAATATATGGTGTTTTTGCTGGTAACACCCAATACAAGTAGGTCACGTCATGCTGAAAAGTATTGTGAGATATAGAATGATAAAATATGAAGATGATGGAGCAAAATAGGATGCCTTGGAGGTGTCTAAGTATGTAGTGGAGGGAAGGCGGAGTAACGGTCATCCTAGAAAAGGATGGGGAGAGAGAGGTAGACGTTTTGTGTGCATGAGGCTTGGACATAAAGCAGGCATGTTTGAGCATGTTAGGAGTTAGTGGAGACAAACAGTTTTTGGGACTTGATAAGCTGTTGGAGTGTGAGTAGGGTAATATTTCGTGAAGGGATTCAAGGCAACTGGTTAGTAAAGTCTGAGGCGGCTACTGTGAAAAGCTCTGTAGGCACAGTACTTGCTCCCATCCTGTTCCTCATCCTCATATCTGACATAGACAGGGATGTAAGCCACAGTGCCGTGTCTTCCTTTTTAGATGACACCCGAATTTGCATAACAGTGTTCTTCATTGAAGACACTGAAAGACTCCAGGCAGACATCGACCAAATCTTTAAATGGGCTGCAGAAAACAATATGAAGTTCAGTGATGAGAAATTTCAATTACTCCGATATGGAAAACATGAGGAAATTAAAATTTCATTGGAGTATAAAACAAATTTCAACCACACAATAGAGCGAAAAACTAATGTAAGACCTGGGAGTGATAATGTCAGAGGATCTCACTTTCAAAGACCACAACCTTACCTTTGATATACCTTCGAAGAATTTCGAGAGTATATCTACTCTGAGCCCGGCCATGGGCCAGGCTCGTCTGGTGCTCGCATGGTCAACCAGGCTGTTACTGCTGGAGGCCCACTGCCCCACATATCCATTACAGCCTGGTTGATCTGGCACCTGGTGAAGATACTTGTCTAGTTTCCTCTTGAAGGCTTCAACACTTGTTCCAGCAGTGTTTCTGATATCTTCTGGTAAGATGTTGAAAAGTCGGGGACCCCGGATGTTGATACAGTGTTCCCTTATTGTCCCCATCGCACCCCTGCTCCTCACTGGGTTTATTTTACACTTCCTCCCATATCTCTCACTCCAGTATGTTGTTATGGCAGTGTGCAGATTTGGGACCAAGCCCTCGAGTACCTTCCAGGTATATATTATCATGTACCTCTCTCTCCTCAGCTCCAATGAGTACATGTTCAAGACTTGCAGGCATTCCCAGTAGTTTAGGTGCTTTACTGACTTGATGTGAGCCGTAAACGATCTCTGTATTTGTTCCAGCTCCGATATTTCTCCTGCCCTGAACGGGGCCGTCAACACTGAGCAATATTCTAAGTGAGGGAGCACTAGCGATTTGAAGAGTGTCACCATCGGCATTGTTTCCCTTGTTTTGAAAGTTTTCAATACCCACCCCATCATCTTCCTGGCTGTCGTGATCTTTGTCTTGTTATGGTCAGTTGCACATGCTAGAAAAATGACAGGATGGATAATGAGAACCTTCAAAACTAGAGAATCCAAGCCCTTGATAACCCTCTTCAGGTTGCTTGTTCTATCTAGGCTGGAATATTGCTGCACACTAACAGCACCTTTCAAGGGAGGTGGAATTGCTGACCTAGAAAATGTACAGAAAACCTTCACGACACACATAACTGCGATAAAACACCTCAGTTACCTTGGAACGCTTGAAATTCCTCGATCTGTACTCCCTAGAACACAGGCAGGAGAGATACATGATTATATACACTTGGAAAATCCTAGAAGAATTAGTACCAAACTTGCTCACGAAAATCACTCCTGATGAAAGCAAAAGACTTGGCAGACGATGTAACACCCCCCCCCCCAAATGAAAAGCAGGGGCGCCACTAGCACGATAAGAGACTGCACAGTAAGTGTGAAGGACCCAAGACTGTTCAGCTGCCTCCCAGCATACATAAAGGGGATTGCCAATAGAGCCCTTGCTGTCTTCAAGAAGGCGTTGGACAGGCACCTTAAGTCAGTACCTGACCAGCAGGGCTGTGGTTCGTATGTCGGGTTGCATGCGGCCATCAGTAACAGCCTGGTTGATTAGATCTGATTCACCACGAGGCCTGGTCACAGACTGGGCCACGGGGGTGTTGACCCCTTAAACCCTCTTCATGTATACTCCAGTTGGAGTCCTGGAGGTAGGATGTACAATGCCTGCACTTTAACCCTATGAGGGTCGACAGGCCCTCTCCAAGACTCGTTCTGAGGGTCGGCCAAATTTAAAAAAAAAAAAAAATTCTTTTGAAAAGATAGAGAATCTTTTCCCGATCATATTGACACCAAAAGTATGAAATTTAATGGAAAACTTACAGAATTATGCTCTCGCGAAGTTAGCGGTCTCGACGATGTTTACGCATTGGCGATTTTGCCCACTTTGAGCCCTATTTTCGGCCAATTCCAGTGTACTAGTCGACAGACATCGTAACTATTTCTCTAGAACTCTATTTTTTCTATTGAATGAGTACAAGAAACCACCCATTTACTGATTTCAACTATCCAATACAGTGGTCAGAATTTAGCAATTTTGCCAATTTCACACAAATTTCAAAAGATGCCAATTTCCAAATAGGGTCCAGAATAAACAACAAGGACATTCCTGGCACTAAAATAACATTTCTTCTGTTCGTTAGTCACATCCCCAGGCCCCTCTTATATTTCTTTGGCTTTCCACTTTGAATTTTTATTCTTACAAAAAATAGAAGATTTACTGTTATGCAGACTGCTGCATTAGTGTAGAAATGGTATAAATAATATCAGTGCACTTGTGAAAGAATATTAGACTCAACAGTTGACGTGTATTGGACGCTTCGCATGATTTGTTTACTTTTGAACTTTGGTAAAAATCAAACATTTCTGCTACTTTGAGCTCAATTTCAAGGTACTTTTCATTGTAAAACCAGTCAAAATCATCTCAATTTCTGTAATATGTCTTCCATTCTATAAAATGAGACCAAGAAAACTAGAATACAACATTAAATACCATACGAAAATACAGTGCAAAGTCGCTGTTTTATTCCAAAAACACGGTCAAAGTTTTTTTTTTCTCATTATGCACTGTGTGCTGCAGGATTTTTTTTATACTGCACACACCGACCACATAGACCCATTCTTTCTTATGTATGCCTACCAGCTTTCTCCCACTAGATTTGAGGGCGCTAGAATTTAGGCGTACTAGTACGTCAAAAACCCTGGGTCGTAAGCCGTACTAGTACGGCCGAAACCCTCAAAGGGTTAAAAGGAGGGGTTTGGGATATTTGATGTTTAGAGTGACATCTCAAATGTCATATCTGTATGCCTCTAGTAAGACAGTGTAAGTTTGAATGTTGGTGAAAGTGTTTCTAATTTGGGTCACCCTGCTTCAGTTGGAGACAGCCAGTATGTTAAAAAAAAGTTTTAATAGTCTGTGAGAAAAGTAATGTTCATGAAGGGATTCAGGGAAACTGGTTACCTGGACTTGAGTCCTGGAGGTGGGAAGTACAGTGCCTGCGCTCTGAAAGAGGGGTGGAGATATGTTGCAGTTTTTGAACTGTAGTATCAACACTCCTCTGGCAAGACAGTGATGGAGTGAGTGATGATGAAAGTGTTTCTTCTTTTTCAGGTCGCCCAGCCTTGGTAGGAAACAGCAGATGTGTTAAAAAAAATGGGAGGGGGGGGGAATAAGTGGCTTTTGGAATTTGACAGGTTTTTTAGAGGGCGAGAGAAGTAACACCTGTGAGGGGATTCAAGGAACCAATTAGCGGGACTCGGGTTTTGTAAGTGGGAAGCGCACTATCTGCAGTAGGAAGGCTGTGGGTGGAGATGTTGCAGTTTGTAGGATCATTGAATTGTCATGTCCACATACTTCTGGTAAGACGGCTTTTAAATATATGATGGGGAACGTGCTTGTTTTGAGTCACTTGGTGGGACACAGCTGATATAGTCTAGAAAATGGTTATATTACTCTTAATAGTTTTTTTCAACAAGTCAATCATCTCTCACCGAGGCAGGGTGACCCAAAAAGAAAATACTTTCATCATCATTCAGCACTGTCACCTCACTCATACATAATCACTGTCTTTGCAGAGGCACCCAGATACAAAAGTTTAGAAGCATATACAGTGGACCCCCGCATAGCGAACTTAATCCGTGCAAGAGGGCTGGTCGTTATGCGAAATGTTCGCTATGCGAATTAATTTTCCCCATAAGAAATAATGGAAATAAAATTAATCCGTGCAAGACACCCAAAAGTATGAAAAAAAAATTTTTTACCACAAAAAAATGTTAATTTTAGTACACACAAACTGAAAAAGGCATGCACAATTACATGACACTTACTTTTATTGAAGATCTGGTGATGATTGATGGGATGGGAGGAGGGGAGAGCATTATCTTCTTACTGTTTAGAAGGGGAATCCCCTTCCATTAGGACTTGAGGTAGCAAGTCCTTTTCTGGGGTTACTTCCCTTCTTCTTTTAATGCCACTAGGACCAGCTTGAGAGTCACTGGACCTCTGTCGCACAACAAATCTGTCCATAGAGCTCTGTACCTCCCGTTCCTTCAAGACTTTCCTAAAATGGGCCATAACATTGTCATTGAAATAGTCACCAGCACGGCTTGCAACAGCTGTGTCAGGGTGATTTTCATCCATAAAGGTTTGCAGTTCAACCCACTGTGCACACATTTCCTTAATTTTTGAAGTAGGCACAATGGATTCCACAACTGGCATAGGCTTCTCAGGGTTAGCCCCAAACCCTTCAAAATCTTTCTTAATTTCCATACTAATTCTCACCCTTTTTACCACAGGGTTGGCACTAGAAGCTTTCTTGGGGCCCATGGTCACTTATTTTCCAGAAACAGCACCGAAAACACTGTAATAATACGAAATATTCCGAGTGTATGCTTGAATGTTACCGCGGAGGCTAGCTGGTAAACAATGGGACGGGCGGCACATGTGAGGCTGGCTGAGGGCCCACATTGGACGCGTCTCGGACGAAGTTCGCTGAGCGGGTTTTTGTCTACTATGCGGGGCAAAATTTCAGCGAACAAAGCGTTCGCTATGCGGATTGTTCGCTATGCAAGGCGTTCGCTATGCGGGGGTCCACTGTATAAAGATATATAACATATCCCTCCAAACTGCCAATATCCCAAACCCCTCCTTTAAAGTGTAGGCATTGTACTTCCCATTTCCAGTACTTAAGTCTGGCTATATAAAAATAACCGGTTTCCCTGAGTCCTTTCACTAAATATTACCCTGCTCACACTCCAACAGCTCTTCTTTTTCTTTTTTTTTTGTAAGCTATATGGGAAAAAGGGGTTACTAGCCCATTGTTCCTGGCATTTTAGTTGACCTTTACAACACGCATGGCATACGGAGGAAAGATTCCTATTCCACTTCCCCATGGATATGAAATGAAAAGCACTAAGAACAAGAACTATTAAGATAAAATCAAAGAAAACTCAGATGAGTGTGTATACATAAATGTGTACAAGTATGTGTAGTGTGACCTAAGTGTAAGTAGAAGTAGCAAGATGTACCTGAAATCTTGCATGTTTATGAGACAGAAAAAAAAGACATCAGCAATCCTACCATCGTGTAAAACAAATATAAGCTTCCTTTATACGTTCACTTGGTAGGACGGTAGTACCTCCCCGAATGGTTGCTGTCTACCAACCTACTACCTACAAAATGTGAGTTAGAAGTATTCCCGGGAGACTTGACCTAGTGACCCAACACACTTTACCTCCCAATGATCCAACTTGGCCACCAAGCTATCTGAGTAATCTGAGGAAATTTAAACTTAGTTTCAAGGTAGGATACATTTGTATTTATGTGCTGTGTAGTAAAGGATTTCAGTCTTTTATAATTTATTCTTTTGTTATTGTGTGTATTTGCAGGATGATGAAGACTCCAAAGATGAGGCCATCATTAGCAAAGGTGGAGACATCAAAGAGAAAGATGACCGCAAGGATACCAAAGACGGAAAGAAGAAGGACGACAAGAAAGACCGAGAAAGAAGGGAAAAGAAAGAGAAGAAAAAGATGATTACAATTGACCCATTTCTTCTCTTATCATTTGTTTATTTTGACCAGACTCATACGGGTTATATAATTGACAGAGACCTTGAGGATATTATCAACATGCTTGGTCTGAACCTTTCTAGAGCTCAGGTGTGCATATTTACATTTGCTTTTTTCTCCATTTCCTGTAGTTTTAATATTCCCTCTGTGTTTTAGTATTGTTTTAATATTCTTGTTAAAGTAATTTAATACATAATTGTATGCAAAACTTCATGATAGGAAGTAGGTTTGGAAAAACTTGAAAATGTTCTTCAAAACAGGTCAGAAGATTCTTGCTACTTGAAGTGCCTTTTGTGATAGCTGAATCTTGCAGACAAGTGCAGGTGCCTGTGAAAGATAAAGGTACATGATATACAAATATAATAAATACTCACAACAGAATTTGTGAAGAATATCAGTGGAAGGAGCAGCTGAAAGAATGCTGAAAAAAATTTGATATTAGGTAACAGAGATTTATAATGGATGGTAACCTGTCAAGGGAGGTGCCATGATGCTAGCATAAGGCTCTTGATTTGGGAAATGGAAAATAAGAATAGAGAAGGACTACAGTAGGTCTATTGGTACATGCTAGGCAGGTCATTCTTAAAACTTAATCCTCTACTGTATGTTTGTCTAACTTATTTTTAAAGGTGTTAGCTCCAGTGACTTGGTTGTTGAGACACATAGGCAACACTTAAGCAACTTTATTCCGAAACGTTTCACCTACACAGTAGGCTTCTTCAGTCGAGTACAGAAAGTAGGCAGGAGCAGTAGAGATGTGAAGACGATGTAATCAGTCCATCACCCTTAAAGTCGTAGATTTGAGGTTGTCAGTCCCTCAGCCTGGAGAAGTTCTGTTTCAAAGTCTGGAACTAACTGAAGATCAAGCGACAGTGTTGAGACTTAAATACTGTCGGAAAGAGGTGCAGAGTAGTAGTAGTGAGATTGTAGCCACTGAGAGGTCATGTCCCTCTCAGAACAAACAGTTCTCACTTGAAGAAGTTGTCCAAGGTGTTTTCTGTTCTGTACCAAGATGCCATGTTGCAGTCAGACACTGCAACACAATGGCATCTTGGTACAGAACAGAAAACACCTTGGACAACTTCTTCAAGTGAGAACCGTTTGTTCTGAGAGGGACATGACCTCTCAGTGGCTACAATCTCACTACTACTACTCTGCACCTCTTTCCGACAGTATTTAAGTCTCAACACTGTCGCTTGATCTTCAGTTAGTTCCAGACTTTGAAACAGAACTTCTCCAGGCTGAGGGACTGACAACCTCAAATCTACGACTTTAAGGGTGATGGACTGATTACATCGTCTTCACATCTCTACTGCTCCTGCCTACTTTCTGTACTCGACTGAAGAAGCCTACTGTGTAGGTGAAATGTTTCGGAATAAAGTTGCTTAAGTGTTGCCTATGTGTTTCAACAACCATCCTGTCGGTATTGTATACTATTTTGATATTCACTCCAGTGACTTCTTGGCAAATTGTTCCACTCATCAAAGAAGGGAATGTACAAGAGTATAGTAGTACCAACACTCTTATATAGGTGTGAAGCATTGGTTGTAAATGCTGCAGTGAGAAGGCGGCTGGAGGCAGTGGAGATGTGTGTAAGGGTAATGTGTGGTGTAAATATTATGCAGACAATTCGTAGTGTAGAAATTAGGTGTGGAGTTACTAAAAGTATTAATCAGGGCTCAAGAGGGGTTGTTGAGGTGGTTTGGTCATCTGGAGAGAAGGGAAGAAAGTAAAATGACTTGGAGAGCATACAAGTCTGTAGGGAATGGAAGGCAGGGTAAGGGTCATCCTCAAAATGGTTGAAGGGAGCAGGTTTTGTGAGTGAGGGGGCTTGACCTTCCAGGAAGCATGCATGAGTGTGTTAGATAGGAGTGACTGGAGACAAATGGTTTTTAGGATCTAACGAGCTGTTGGAGTGTGAGCAGGGTAATTTTTTGTGAAGGGATTCAGGGAAACCAGTTAGCTGGACTCGATTCCTGGAAATGGGAAGTACAGTGCCTGCACTAAATTTAAAGGAGGGGTTTGGGATATTGGCAGTTTGGAGGGACATCTAAACTGTCGTATATGAGCGCTTCTGCAAAGACAGTGATTATGTATGAATGATGGTGACAGTGTTGAATGATGAAAGTTTTTTTTTCTTTTTGGGTTTTTCTTTGTTTTTGGGTCACCCTGCCTTGGTGGGAAAAGGCCAACATGTTAAAAAAAAAAAATCAGTCTTTATTGATAAACCACTACATTACTAAATCATTTCTAAATTTGAAATTATTCATCTTGAATTTATTGTTTAGAATTCTTTCTTGGTCAGGTAGTCTTATTACCCCCTTTATATTGCTGTTGTTAAAATCTGTCTCCCACTTGAATTCCTCAGTTATATCTCATCATTTCTACATCTTTCAAGAAAGTGCAAGTTTAAGGCTCAGTCTGTCTTTGTGTACAAGATTTTTTATACACTGGAGTAATTTTGTTATCTTTCTCTCTATTCACTTACATATCCATTGTGCTTATATTTAAATAATATGATTGGAATTTTTTTTTAATTATAGGCCTGTATCAGACTGAAGAGTATTGCTGTAAAAGCATTGAAAAACACTTAAAATTGGTAATACATAATCTTGAAAAGCAAAATGCTGCTTACTATCGAACAGTTCAGAGTCCAAAAAGTTGAATCCCTGTTTGCCAAATCTAATAAAGCTACAGTGACAGAGCTACAAAATTTATTTAAAAAAAAAAAGGATTAAGTAATTTACATTTATTTGACAGGGATGTGTGATGTAACCATGACTGTTTAACATATTTATAGACAAAAACATAAAAGAAGCAAATGCTAGGGTGTTGGGGAGAGGTGTGGGATTAAAAGATAAAAAAAACTTAATACAGAGTGGAAGCTTTCATAGCTGCTTTTAACAACTGACACTGTGCTTTTTGGATATTCTGAAGAGAAGTTGCAAATGTTGGTGGATGAATATCGGAGGGTATGTAAAAGAAGAAAATTAAAACTGAACAGAAAAGGTTGGATATCAGATTGGAAGAAGGTAGTATAGAGAAAGAGAATCTGTTCAGATATTTGGGAGTGGATTTGTCAGAAAATGGGTCTGAAAAATGAGGTGAACCATAGAACTGACGAGGGGTAAAAGGTGAATGGTGCATTGAAGCATTTGTGAAGACAAAGAACATTATCTCTGGAGGCAAAAAGGGAAATGTATGAAAGTATAGTAGTGCAGTACCATCTCTCTTAGATGGGTATGAAGCATGGATTGTGAATGTTGCACCAAGGAGAAGGCTAAAGGCAGTGGAGATATCATGTTTGAGGGTAATGCATGGTGTGAATATTATGCAGAGAATTTGTAGTTGGAGATTAAGAGGAGGTGCAGGGTTACTAAAAGATTATCCAGAGGGCCAAGGGAAGAGAGGGGGGGGGGGGTTGAAATGGTTTGGACATATAGAAAGGACATAGATAACATTTTTTGTCTCCACAGATACCTCAGTTCACCACTCACCTGTTTTCTTTCATCAGTTCTGTGGTTAGCCTCATCCTTCATAAACCCATCCACTGACACTTAAGTTCCCAAATATCTGAAAACATTTACTTCTTCCATGTTCCCTCTCTCCAATGTGATATCCAATTTTTCTTTATCTAAATCGTTTGATACCCTCATCACCTTACTCTGTGTAGGCGAAACGTTTTGGAATAAAGATGCCTAAATGTTGCCTATGTGTCTTACCTACCACTAACTTAGCTTTGCTCCTGTAGTTACAGATAGGTATTTACCAAATGGTACTATTATCTATTAGGGAATTGCAAGAACTTGAAGCATCAGAGGAGGTTCCAGCTTAACCAGTTGTTTGAAAGTATGGAGTCAGCTGAGTAAGTATCCATGAGGAGAAGTGAGAGCAGAGAGTTTATGCAACAGAGCAGTGGTGACAGCTGGGTAACTTAGCCATTATGTGTGAACACAATCTGACACTCGATGGTGAGCTAGAAGTGTGCATACAAACCTCCCTGGGAAGCAGAGAGGCAAGTATTAGCATAAATGAGGTGTGACATTGCAGTTGGACTCCCCAGAGCCCCTTCACAGAAAAGTTTTATAAGTACTGTATGAAGATTCATAATATTGTAGGTTTAAGTACTTTCTAAGGTTTCATAGAAATACTTGTATGGTAAACAACTGGTATATTGTATGAGCCAGGAGATACCTTCTTCTGTTGCACTAAAACAAGCAAACCGTATCTAGTTTTTTAATTAAGCAGTAATACTAATTTTACAAATTGCTTAGTAGCTATTTTTATTCAGTGGTTATTTTCAAATAGCATACTATTAATTTTCATTTGTTTTTATATAATATGCTGTTTACTTTTTTATATAGAGTTACTTTTATATTATGTTTCAGCAAAAGAAGTTAATGTCAAAAGTAATGTCACGAGATGTCTTACACTACCGAAAACTGACTGATGTTTCCTTAGATGATAAGGATAAGCCGAGAGACCCTCCACCATGTATAGACTTGGAAAGTTTGGCCAAGGGTATGTCAGTGTGTTATATTTTTGTACAACATTGCTAGAAACATTTTGAATAGTTACAGCATTTTTTCACTTTGAGTACTCTTATCAAACATGTTCATGTTAGCTTTTAATATCTCGCAGTATTTTCAGTTTTATCTAAAAGAAATTTCATACACAGTATATGTATCCTGAGGATTGGCATATTGCATGCATATTTCCCCTATATAAATTTTAAGGTAAGAAGTCTGGAATGAAAACACAGCTGTAATCCTAAGGACAGTTACAAGATTTTTTTCCCAGTGCAAAAGGGGGATAAGAGGTTTCTCAATCCCATACAATAAAGAGAGAGCATAAAAGTCAGTTATGCTAGGTAGGGTCTGATTCATTGATGGCAAATACCTGACCTCATTGAACATTACCCTACCTAACTTACCTGACTTCTTTTTCCTATATTTATT